CAGTGCCATTGGGTCGGCGTGGAGGGGACCCGCCCCCCGGCTGGAGGGCAGCAGCTGGGAGGGGGCTGTAGACACGAGGAGGATTTTGATTGGTCCACGCTTCCGAGGACTCACCAATGAGCGACAAGAAAAGGGCTTCCGCGGCGTCCAGCAGGGACCAGCGCGGAGGCGCACTTGTGAGTGAGAGCGCGCGGCCGGCGGCAGCGGAGCCTCCTGGACACGCACGGGACACGCACGAAGTCGGGTTTTAGGGCACGTGTTCACCGAGCCCCTTAATCCTGGATCCCGTTCCCAATCGTACGTTTCTCCCCTCGGACTCGGGGCCCGCAGCTTTTGAGGTTGCTGACTTTTGTGCTCCCAAAATCAGCGGATCCGAGTTACTGAATCGCCTGATCCAGTCCCTGGATTTGGGGATTAATCGGTCTCCCACTCATCCGGTCGTACTCCCCTGTCTGACATTGGGTCGCCTCAGTCCCTAAATCCCTCTTGCCAGTCCTTCGATTTCTTCCACGGCAGCATTTCAAGGTCATTCGTTCACCGGGCAGCAGGGGGCAGCAGATAGCCGTGGTGTTGCGGCCCCCGAGGTTCGCTCCAGAAAGCCCCAGAGCACCTCTAGGGAACCGAACCCAGGGAGATCAGTGAGGGATGGAAACCACGTCTAGGTGACTGTGCGTCCCAGGTCTCCTGGACGTGAGTGACGCGGGGGCTCTTCCTGTCTTCCCAGGGACTTGGCGGCTCAATCTGCCAGGAAGCAGGAGCCATGTGGTTGGTGCAGCAGGAAAGCTCAATACTCCGAGCTTGATCCTCACAGGAAGGTTCCAGGTGTGTGCCCAGATATGACCCTGAGTATTCCTGGCACATACGTGTCGATGATCTGGGCCCAGCTGCATGATAAACTGGCACCTTGAAAAACAAACCAGGTCGGGAACCAGCAGTTAGCGTAATGGCTATGTCGCTGGACTCCCACGTAGTCGACCGCGGTTCGTGTCCCGAACCCAGTGGCTTAAAACTCACGCCGGGCGCGTGTGCGTGCGTGCCCAAGATCCCGAGAGGAGAATGGAGGAGAAGGGATTGCGGTGTGACCATCCCCCCTGGGGGGTGATTTCTCGCTTTCTGTCTCTCTTTCTGTCTGTCTGGCCAGTGCACGCGCCCTACAGTGAAAATCTCTCAAAAAAAAAAAAAAAAAAAAAAAGAAAAAAGAAAAACATACCAGGTGCATGTGTGTGCAGGCCCAAAATCCTGAAAGGAGGGAAAAATGCAGAAGGCGTTGCAGTGTGAGCTTTCCCCATGGGAATGTTTTATCACTTCTTTTTATAAGAATTATTTAATTTTATTTATTCATTTATTCATTTTTATTTGACCAGAGAGAGAGAGGGAAAGTGAGAAAGCAAGTCACCAGGTCCAGGACTCGAACTGTGGTCAGCCATGTGGGAGTGTCCAGCACCTTAACCACCATGCCACCTGCTGGTCCCCACTTTATCTCTTTCTTACTTTTTTTTTTTTTTTTTGAGAGGGAGATTTTTGTTATAAGGCGCATGCGCTCACTGGAGAAGACAGAGAGACAGAAAGTGAGAAATCACCCCCCCCAATACACACACACACACCGCCATCCCTTCTCCTCCATTCTCCTCTGGAGATTTTGGGCACCTCGCACATGTGCCTGACATGAGTTTGAAGCCGCGGGGTCCAGGACTTGAACTGTTGTCAGTCATGTGAAAATCCAGTGATGTAACTATTACGCCATCTGCTGGTCCCCTTTCTTTTTTTTGAGAAAGAGATATTTTTTTTCCCCAAGAATTATTTAACTTTATTTAAATTTCACCAGCGAGGGAGAGAAAGGGAAAGTGAGAAAGCAAGCCACCAGGTCTGGGATTTGAACTCCAATCAGCCATGTGGGAGTCCTGTGCCTTTAACCACCACGCCACCTACTAGCCCCAAGAGAGATTTTTGCTACAGGGTGTGTGCGCTTGCCAGAGAGACAGAGACAGAGAGAGTAAGAAATCACCCCTCTCAGAGGATGGTCACAACACAATCCCTCCCAGGATTTTGGGCACACACAGACACATGCCTGGCGATCAAACTGTGATCGACCACATGGGAGTCTAACGCCTTAACAACTATCCCACCTGCTGCCTCCCCCCACCCCCTTTCTCTCTGTCTCTCCAGTGAGCACTTGCACCCTCTGGTGCAAAAAAAAGGGGGGCTAGACAGTGAGACATGACACTCTAAGAAGCAGAACCACACGAGGAAGAAAGGAAGGGACTTCTAACACTGCCCTTAAAAACTCAGAAGCGGACCAGCAGATGGCGTAATGGTTACATCACTGGATTTCCACATGGTTGACCATGGTTCGAATCCCGGACCAAGAAGCTTGAAACAAATACCAGGCATGTGTGTGTGTGTGCATGCCCAGGATCCTAAGAGGAGAACAGATGAGAAGGAATTGCTGTGTGGTCCAGGCATGTGTGTGGGCGATTTCTTGCTTTCTGTCTGTCTCTCTCTGGTGAGTGCATGCTCCCTAAAGCAAAAATGGGAGGACGTGCATTCCATCAGTGAATGGAGAGACAGATCGTGGAAGGGGAGAGGCCATTTGGAAAGTTCTAGCCTCTGCCTGCCTCCCAGCTGAAAGCACTCGCAGGGAGACTTCAGCCGATGCCACTGGCCCCCTGAGCCTGTGAGACCCCAGTGTCATGATAAAGGATCCTTTTGTGTGGAGCCTCATAGTGTAGGTGTGCACACAGCAGCAGACACCTGACCCAGGCATCCCCAGGCATCAGACAGACGTCTCCAGCACAACGCATCAGTGACTTCCAAAGGGACTGCTCCTACACCAATACACGTGTCTCCCAGGCAGGGGTGGGGCTGTGTTGTCTCCCTTGGGAATCATAGCAGCTGCTGTATTTTGAAGTCCAGTTCTTCTTCTTGACTCTTTTTTTTGAGAGATTTTTTGCTCTAGGGCGCGTGTGCTCGCTGGAGAGACAGAAAGCAAGAAATCACCCCCCGGTGAATGGGCCACACCACAATCCCTTCTCCATTCTCCTCTCTGGATTTTGGGGCATGCATGCACACGTGCCCAGTGTGTTTTAAGCCATCGGATCCAGGACGTGAACTGTGGTCAGCCACGTGGGAGTCTAGCATCTTTTTTAGTAGTCTTTTTAAAAAATTATTTACTGGGGCTGGGAGGTGGCATGGTGGTTAAGGGTGCTGGGTTCCCACGTGGCCAATCACAGTTTGAGTCCCAGACCTGGCAGCTTGCATTCTCACTTTCCTTCTCTCTCTCTCTGTGTCTCTCTATGGTCACATGAGAATAAATAAAATTAAATAATAAAAGGAATAAAATTTAATATTTATATTATTAAATAAAATAAGTATTTAATGTGACCAGAGAGAGAGGGAAAGTAAGAAAGCAAGCTTCCAACTCCAGGACTTGAACTGTGGTCAGCCACGTGGGAGTCCAGCATCTTAACTGCCATGCCACCTGCTGGCCCCCCAGAGTCTTCATTCCTTTTAAATTATTATTATTATTATTAGGAATAAAATTTAATATTTATATTATTAAATAAAATAAGTATTTAATGTGACCAGAGAGAGAGGGAAAGTAAGAAAGCAAGCTTCCAACTCCAGGACTTGAACTGTGGTCAGCCACGTGGGAGTCCAGCATCTTAACTGCCATGCCACCTGCTGGCCCCCCAGAGTCTTCATTCCTTTTAAATTATTATTATTATTATTATTAAGAGTTTTTTGCTATAGGGCACGTGTGCTCTCCAGAAAGACACAGAGAGACAGAAAGCCAGAAATCACCCCCCAGGGGGGATGGCCACGCCGCAATCCCTTCTCCTCCATTCTCCTCTCAGGATCTTGGAGCACACACATGCGCCCGGCGTGAGCTTAAGCCACCGGGTCCGGGACTCAAACCACAGTTGACTACATGGGAGTCTAGAGACATAGCCATTACGCTAACTGTTGGGCCCAAGAAGAATTATTTCTATTTAACTTTATTTGATTAATTAATTTAAGCAGCGACGGACAGAGAGGCAAAGTGAAAAAGCAAGTCGCCAGATCTGGGACTCGAACTGCGGTTGGTCATGTGGGAGTCCAGCACCCTTAACCACCATGCCACCTAGCCCACAGTTCAAATCTTGACCCTAGCAGCTTAAGAAACATGCAGGGTCTGTGTGCATACATGCCCCGAATCCTGAGAGGCAGGGGAAATGGAGAAAAGATTTTGGCTGCCTCAGTAGGGAGTGGTTTCTTCATCTCCCTCTGTCTCTCTCTGGGGAGTGCATGTGTTTTCTGGCAGTTAAAATGTCAGGGGAACAGGACCACCAGATGGCATAATGGTTATGTTGCTGGACTCCCACATAGTTGACCATGGTTTGAGTCCCAGACCTGGCTGCTTAAAACTCACGCCGGGCATGTGTGCTAATGTGCTCAATATCCCGAGAGCAGAATGAAAGAGGGAAGGGGCCAGCAGGTGGCATGGTGTTGAAGGCCCTGAACTCCCACATGCTTGACCATGGTCCAGGTCCTGGATCTTGAAATTCAAACTGGGCATGTGTGTGTGCCCAAATTCCCAGGAGAGGAGAGGAGAAGGGATTACAACATGGCCATCCCCCGGGGGGCGTGGCTTCTCCCTTTCTGTCTCTGTCTTTTTCTCTCTGTCCTGGCGAGTGCATGCACCCTATAGCAAAAACCTCTACAAAAAGAAAAAAAAAAAAAAGGGCCACACCGTAAAGCAGGTACAAAGGAACAACGAGGGGGTCAGAGAGCAGCCAGTTGTCACGATGGCCCGTGGCGGCCAGGGCTGACCTCTGAAGGTGCTGCCCAAGGGCAGGGACACGGGTGCAAAGACGGAGCCTGTAGTCCCAGGACAAGAACACACGGTGAGCACACGCTTTATGTCTATCCCCTCACTGGCTCCCCCAAATCTCAGCAAAGCCCCTCGTGGGCGTTGGGCTCCCCCTGACCCCCCGCGATGGCACAGGCTGGCGGGTGGGCAGGACGAGGAACAGGGAATCGAGCGGTTGGTGTGGCTGTGGGACCCTCATGGGGGATCGCTGTGGCCTATGTCCCCAGGCCTATGTCCCCAGAGGACCTGACAGAGGCCTCCATTCCAGAGTCAGGGAGGCTCAGGTTGTCCTCATCCTCACGGACATGGTCCCCGTCGTCGTCACCCTCGTCCTCCTCGCTGCCCTCGCTGTCCCCGAAGTTCACCGTCTCCCTCGACTTGTGGGGACTGGAGTCCATGCCGGTGCCAGAGGACGTGGACAGTTTGGGCTCTGATGCACTCGCGGGGGGCTCGTTTTCCAGCGTTGCGGGTTCCTGGGGGTTGAACAGCTGTCTAACCTGCAACTCCGTGTCCAGGTCCGGTTCTGGTTCCTTCTCCTTGTCTGTGTTGGGGGCCGGCTCAGGCTGTGTGGACAGGGAGACCGTGCTGCGCTGGGAGACCCTGGAATGAGGAGCACTGTGCTGCGGGGCCCCAGGGTGGGAGGGCGGCCGGATCTTCTCGGCCTCCTCCAGTTTACGCAGCAGGCAGCTCCAGTCAATCTGCGACGACAGGCGGATGCGGGAGCCCTCGATCTTTTTGAAGCCCAGGAGGAGGTCCATGAGCCCCTCGGTGATGGGGAAGGAGATGAAGCCCAGCTGCTTCCTGAGGTTCCTCTCGTACTTGTACTTGCAGATGAGCAGGGAGACCGCCTGCTCCACCAGGAAGCTCACGATCTCTTCAAACCAGGGGTTGGAGGCGTGGGGCAGGCTGGACTTGGACGAGATGGAGGGCAGCGGCTTCTTCCTCGAGAACTTGGTGCTGGAGCTCTGTGTGGCCTGGAGGGGAAAGGAGTTACGTCACGTCTCACGGGCCCCCGCCCATCACGCCTGCCAGCCCTGCCCGTCACAAACACGGATGCCACACGTGTCTCGCTAAGCATATGGCCTTGCCACACCCGT